TGGCGTGCACTTTTTATTTTTATTTTTTCTTAATAATCCCCAGAATGTCGACACAGTTGCATCTTGGCGGAGTCTGTATTTATTACTGTAGTTTTTTTTCTTCTTCTCAAATCACCATATCTGTTGGCCCTGCCGCATCCTAGTGAATTACTGTATATATTAATACTGGTTTAAGGGCTCACTAGTCTCGGTTTATACCAATTGACTACGTGTGAACCTTAATTAATTCCGCAATTTTTCTTTTCTTTTCATCTCTCTCTCTCTCTCTCTCTCTCTCTCTCTCTCTCTCTCTCTCTCTCTCTCTCTCTCTCTCTCTTCCCAATCCCAATTCCCTTCTGCTTATGCTTACACGTTCACGTGGTGCTAATAGTGAATTGTTATTCTTCTCTGACATTGAAAAGCACATACGTGAACAGAAAAAGATAAAAAAAATGTCAAACGATATTGTTGTAAATGAGCAGGAACCAGATCAACCAATCGTGGATCAGGTTACGAGGACCAGGAAGCCATTGTATGATTATGTTACGCCTCCCGTGAATGAGCATGACAGTGTTATTCCACCGGAGGTTAACATGAATCAATTTGAAATCAAGACTGCTATCATCCAAATGGTTTGAAATGATCGATTTGGCGGAGCGCCAACGGAGGATCCAAATAATCATATCACAAAGTTCCTTCGAGCTTGCAACACCTTCAAAATCAATGGTGTGCCATCTGATGCTGTCAGACTACGCCTATTCCCATTCTCTCTACGGGATCGAGCTCAGAGTTGGCTTGACTCTTTTCCAGACAATCACTTCTCCACTTGGGATCAACTTCATGGTGAATTTCTCAAAAGATTTTTCCCGCCATCTAAAACGGCGAAAATCCGGAGAATGATTCAAAATTTCAAGCAAAATCCTAATGAGCCCCTCTATGAGGCCTGGGAAAGATTCAAAGATCTCCAGCGACAGTGTCCACATCATAACATCCAAAACTGGCACTTGATGACGGCTTTCTATGAAGGCCTAAGTGAAAATTCTCGGATACTTGTGGACGCGTCAGCAAATGGATCATTCATGTGCCTGGAACTTGAAGAGGCAGAAGAATTGATGGAACACATTTCATCAAATGGATCAACATGGTATTCTGAGCGATCATCTGCTCCACCAAAAATTGGAGGCATGTACGAAGTTGATCAAATGTCGACCATAACCACAAAGGTCGATAACATTATGACTCTGATCCAAAAGATGGCACAAGTCTCTCTTGTGCAAAACTCTGCATTAACTCCAACTCCCGTTCCTGTTCTTATGTGTGAATCTTGCGGTGGACAACACAATCAGTCCACTTGTCCATGGGGATCAATGGAACAAGTTGACTATGTCAACTACAACAGGCAGCCCCAATAAAATCAGTTTGGTAATTTCAAGTTTTCAACACTCAAGGAAGAAACCATCCTGGTTTTTCCTGGAGCAATGAAAATGGAGCTGCTAATCCACAACAATCTTACCGGAGTGCACCACCCGGTTTCCAAAATCAGCAACAACAATTCAAAGGAGGCCAAGGTATTGTGAACTAGCAACAATACAAACCCACTCAAAATCTTCCATACCCTTCAAATCAACAACAAAAACCACTTCTACCCACTCCTGAAACAACCCAAACTCCTGTCCTAGAAAACATTGTTGACCAACTTCTCAAGTCCCAATTATCTCAAGCTGAAACCCTGAAACAAATCACCGAAGAACTTGGTCAACTCCAGGCTCACAATAGGATGCTTGAGAATCAAATTGCTAATCAAGCATCCACATCATCGACTAAGGTGACAGGTAAGCTCCCTGCTTGCCCCGAAAACCCGAGGGAGCAAATGAATGTCGTCACTACTCGGAGTGGGAAACAACATCAATCCTTGCCCCTTTCTAATGATGAACAAGAACATGAAGTGTTGGAGAAAGGGGTCGTGCAACAACAGAAATGTGGAAACAATAACAATGAACTTGATATCGATACCATGCCGAAATCATCTGATGACCGTGAAGGGTCTAAGAAACAAAGAGAAAGTCCGGTAAGGAAATACATTCCCCCAGTTCCTTATCCGAACAGATTGAAGAAAGCTAATATGGAGGAGCGGAGAACTGAATTTTTGAATGTTATCGAACAATTGGATATCTCAATTCCTTTGCTTGATGCCCTTACAGAAATTCCTTCATATGCTAAATTTCTCAAAGATATTCTCACAAAGAAGAAGGAGAATCCAGTCACTGTTGCAATGAGTCAAAAATGCAGTGCCGTCATCCAAAATAAGATCACACCCAAGTTACGTGATCCTGGAAGCTTCTCAATTCCATGTACCATTGGTGGATCCAAAGTTAACAAAGCTCTTTGTGATCTTCGTGCAAGTGTCAGCTGAATATGTAAATTTTAATTGTTAAACATTGAACTAATTATCAATAAAGATGATTTAACTTTAACATTAGTTGACAAAAATGTTGACTTTGTAAATTCAGACTAATTTTCATGTACATCACGTTATTCTAAACGGGAAATGTTTTCTAATTTAGTTGTGTAACCGTTTGGTAGTAAATTGTTGTATTAAAATGTTGTATCCTTTCCGATGTAATAAAAAAAATGTTGTATCCCTAGTTAACAACGAAATCAATTCTAACCTTTTGTAACATATACGTACAACTTTATTTTTAAAAAATAGTACAATTAAGATATACTCGCACTTTTTCATTTGTAATTGTATATTCTACATATACTTGGCTAATTATTCAAACACTTGATCTACTTTATGCCGTATTACTAAAGTGCTAAATATACCAGATTGTACCGTCATCATCGTCTACACATATTTTTATAATTATTCACATCTACTTATTTGTTCATCCTTCACTCCAACGTACATTTTGCATATGCTTTACTTTTCCAACGCGGACTTCCACTTCTTTTTATTCATTTTTCTTTCTCTTAATTATGTTAACAATTTTAATTTAAATGTAAATTTAACTTTTGAGAATTCCAAAATGACTTAATTGAGATGAAAATTTGAAAAAATAATTCCCCCTCTTTCATTAATATATAATAATGGAGTTTCTTTTATTTAGCTTATAAATATTGAATGCTTACCTACCAAATGTTTGAAAAAATTACAAGGTCAAACTTCATTCCTCTTTTAATGAAATATCTTATTATTTGTGGCACGGCTTGCACCTGTATATCATATTAATACATCTTTGATTTATTCTACATAATAGTTTTGTTTAGAATATCAATGCATATTTCAATAGACGAGACTTGATATTTAATGAAATTAAAATGCCTTGATGGTCAACTAGCAGAAGTCACAATTTCCAACTAAAACTACAATTAGAGATTTCAAATGAGTTTTTGAATTTTTGATGCTCATTTGGTAAGTTATGTATGAACATTTGATACTAGTGATATATATGCACATTTTATGATGTCATATCAATGTATATTTTAAAAGTATAATATTACATAAGACTCACATAAGATCCGAGATGATTATATCTACGTATCATTTAAAATTTTTCAAAACAAAACTAATAATACCAATGAATTGTAGATATAATTTCAAAACTATAATATTACATTTGATTCGCATAAGAGTTGATTATAGACATGTGAACACAGATCACGATACTCAATAGCATGATTCTAATACTCAACAGATGAGATTTAATGCTCACTAAAAATGCAGTAATGCTCATTTAACGCAAGCTAAGATTTTCACTTAAATTACAAAAATGTCATCGGTTGTATAGTGTTCACCAAGTCACCGTACAACCGGTTTTACGGTATAGGAACTCTTACCAAAGTATCATATACATGCATGTGAGGAGGCAAATGGGGGCAAACCGGGCCCCAACGTAACCCACCCGAAAATTTTAAAATTCTTTGTAATTTCAATATTAAAGTTTAAGGCTTCATCTCAACCGTACCCAAACATCTAAGGAATACACCATCTCACGCTTTTGTTGAAACGAGATCTTTTTCCCATTCCTTTGATAGTGAAAGGAAGTGTTTGATTGTGAGAGCTCTTATGCCCTTCTTTCGAGTCTTCTCTGACCATGAGCGGAGAAAACTTACCAAAAGTACGTGATGGAACCATCAATGATGTTGTAAGTGGCTAAATTGCTAAAACATCTCACTTTGTCTATGAGTGAACATAATCATAGATACTCTTGGCCCACGAGAGTTTAAAATGTGTAGTCGAATTAAGAAAAAGGGTGTGCCTTTCATATGAGACCAAACGCGCGTGTCAAAATGCATTTGATAATATCAAGGCTTATTACTTGATGAAACCCCCTGTCTTAAATGCTCCCGTCTCTAGTCGTTCTTTGATACTCAAGAAAGGTCTGTGGGAGTTCTATTAGCTCAAGAAAATGATAAAAGGAAGGAGAATGCCCTTTATATCTAAGCAGAATAATGATCCCGCACGAGTTGAAGCGGATCTATCCATTTTTTTCCTGACCGGGATAGTGTTGGATATCCAAGTAGGATATTTTACTTCTCGAATAAATCCGGCCGACTTTGTGTAAAAACTATCTGAGTTTTTTATTTATCGGCCCACCCCAACCTTCAATCATGGTTGAAACACTATATATGGAGTCCAATCTTAATAAAGTGATTTTTGGTGTCACTTTATGAAACACTATTTTCTTACTTCACGAGCAGAATTAATTTGTTAAATGAAGAGGAAATATATATATATATAATGCAACATTTAAAATCTTTTTAGAGTTTTCATTTAAATGACTGAAGTTGATTGAGATTACCATTTTAGTTTTTATCCGTCATTTTTAATTTCTGAACTTTATTAGGTCGTACGTAGTACTAGCCAATTTAAAACTAATTTAAGTACAATCTGTAAGAAAAGTAAATAAAAATTAGGAAACTAAGGTATAATAAACCGTATAAGAATGGGGAAAAAGTCGGTGGAGAATGTATAAATATTACTTCGTAGTAATTACGTAGTATATGCTATACTAAAGCTTTGAAATTATAAACCAAGTTCCAAGTATTATATTTTAGCCTTTGAAACTACACTTTTAGGGTTCCTTAATTACATTTGATGATGGGAGGTACAGGGGAGGGCTCAGCAGCACTGGAATGGCGGCCAAGGCCGCCGCCGCCGCCCGGATATAGGTTTGATCCCGATGACCTGATCCTTTTCAAGTCTTATCTTTTTCCCAGGGTCAACGGTCAGAACTTCCCGCAAGGGATCATCCGCGAGACCGACGTCTACCGCCGGCAGCCGTCCGATCTTTTTCTTCAATTTCCGCCGCCCCCCGGAGAGATTTACACTTACTTCTTCACGCCGAGAAATAAAAGGTACAAGAACGGGTCAAGGCCAAGCCGCTCCACCAAGGATCAGAAGGGTAACTGGAAGATTACGGGTAAGATTTTGGAAATCAAAGACACGGATGGGTTGAGGGTGATCGGAAGGAAGAACGTTCTTGTTTACTACCAGAATAAGGTGAAGACGAATTGGATCATGCATGAGTACGTTTTGGACCAAAAGTACGTAATTAACGGTAACGGGGACGCCGAAAATGACGGAGTTGTACTGTGTAGGATTCACGATAGAAATCCAGGAAATAAACGAAATCTTGATGAAAGTGATGATGATGATCATCATGATCATGAGCATGGTGATGATCATGAGGATGATGATGGCCATAATAATGAACCATCATCAAGATGTTATCGTCAAGAAACCAGCGGCGGCAAGAAGGCACGGAAACCTAACGTTGACTCGTCAAACCGCTCATGGTATAGTTGTAATAGCGTTGGCTCTAACGTTGGTGTGAAGAATACGGTACAATTATTACAACTGCCGCCGTTTCCGCCGTCGATTGATTTGCAGCCGCCGTTGGGTCATATGGCCTCCGCCGCCACCGCCTCCGCCTCAAATCACTTATTCCATGAAACCCTAGGAAGAGATGCTACTATGGAGGCGGATAAAGGGTCCAACTCAAACCAGCCGCCGCCACTCCCGGAGCTGATGCCGCAGCCCATTGGTTACCGATATGCAGATCAAGTGCCGCCGTTCGGCTTGGCCCATATGGCTGCCGCCGCCGCCTCTGATCATTTTAACGATGCATTCCTGCAGGGCTGGGATAATACGACGACGGAGTTGGAGAAGGCGGTGTTTTACGATGGCGGAGTCGACTCCGGATTTTTGGCAGATTTGCACTTGGATTTTAGCGACGATAACAACTTCAATTTGTATTTCACATCATCTCCACGTGATGACCAGCATAAGTAATTAACTCTTACCGATCATTTATGATTGTATCCATTGAAATTTAATTGTACATAATTCATCAATTCAATGAATTTACTTGTTTTAATTACAATTAATGCCCTTATTATAATGTTATGCATGGTTATTTATTACCACTAGTATAGGCTGTATAGCTAGATACCGCTCATTTAATTTGTGATTTATCAGCCTAATTATCTACCAAATATTGTCATCTTCATGATCGTAGTTTCAAGCTAAAGGGGTGTTTGGAACTGATTCTGCTTCTGCTTCTTTTTTAAAAGCAGAAGCAGAATCAGAATCAGTTTTCAGAAGCTGGTACCCCCCAGCTTCTAAAAAAACTGATTCTGAGAGTAAATTAGAGCTCCAGAAGTGCTTCTGGAATTTCACCCAAACACTCCAGCTTCTGCTTCTGCTCCCTGAAAGAGCAGAATCAGTTTTGAGAATCAGATCCAAACACCCCCTAAGTACCTGATAGCAGGTGGATATTATCGGTCAATTGAAAATTTTGATAACTGTATAGTAGTAATGTTAATGTTATCGGATCTCATTAGTTCCTAGGGTTACGTTGTTCAGTAAACCCTAAATAAAGTTAATGTTATCGGATCTAGCTCTTTAGATCCTAGGGTTGTTTACCCAGATTATAAATTTACCGCTGCATATATTATAACTAATACGGAGTATGTATATGTATGAACTATGAAATAATAATTTCAAATAAGTTATACCGAAACTTTGGGAAAAACTAGTCACCTTCAATTCAAAGGTGAATGTTAAAGGTTTGATCCATGTTCATGTTGATTGATCGAATGCATGGTTAAATACATACGTAGTACGAAGTATATAGGTTTTTAATTCTACTGTCAATTCATTATTGTAATTTAAAAATCGATAATGAGAGTATGGTTAAAGTCATAAAGTGTTAAACTAATGAAAACAATTCCATATTAAAGAAATTCTAGTAGAAAGTTAATTCATTAATTAATATACGATTAACAACTAGTAATATTGTTTTCTAGTATTAAACCACGTTCGTTTTAATTTGTCCAGTCTAACGGTATTTTTGGATACAAGGGTTTTTTATGATCATATATTTATACAGTTTATTATACAAGATTTGATATTTATATTTCATTACATATACGGAGTATGAAAATGTAAAAAGTGGACATATTCAAGAGCGTGATCCTAGTAAGGGTATTGCCACAGCAAAAACTGAAAAACAATAATACGGAGTATCAATTATTATCGGCTTAAATTGATATCAAGGCATTCGAGTAAGGGAACAAGAAGATGAAAGGATCACTTCCAACCACCGACCTTCGAACCAGACTTAAAGCATGCAATCATCCTCAAAAATCCAATTATCGGTCTGGTTTTAATGATCCAAATTATCTATTGTTTTTGGTTAGTCCCAACTACAGATATTACTTTCCAATAATAGTATATATTGACCAATTACCAGTTGCCCACGTTAAAAGTATATCTATTTATAATAATCTCATTTCTTGTCAATCCATCTTTAGTAGGCTCAATATAATAAAACGAAAATGCTGCAAATAAACCGAAAGGTAGTAATTCATCCTTATCTACTACTACCTTCGTCCCAAAAAGATTGACCAATTTGACTTTTCTTAGTCAATGATGTTAAAGTTTTAGACAATAATGATTTTAAATATTATATTTGAGTGTACGTAATGTATAAATTTTATACTTTTATCAAAGATTTTTTAATAAAGAATAAGCTCATATAGTTTTCATATTTTAAATAATTTTGTATTAAAAGATATCATTGGTCAAACTTGACCATCATTGACTAAGAAAAGTCAAATTGGCCAATCTTTTTGGAACGGAAGGAGTACGTGTTAAAAATTGATATATACATTTATAGAAATATTTTATTACATGTACCACTTTCCTATTTTTTGTAAATGTTACATTTATATATACATAAATCCCCTTACTTTTCTCGCTTTTTATCCTTTTTTGTCCCGGTTCAAACCACACTTTTTTCTACGTTTTTAATACTTCAATTATATCATTAATATACTACGTACTAATAATAATACATTTTCATTAAAAATAGGCAAAACATCCAAAATTATATCATTATAAACAATATCATATAACTTAAAGATAATAGTTGAATTTATATTGTATAATATAATATAATATAATATAATATAATATAATATAATATAATATAATATAATATAATATAATATAATATAATATAATATAATATAATATAATATAATATAATATAATATAATATAATATAATATAATATAATATAATATAATATAATATAATATAATATAATATAATATAATATAATATAATATAATATAATATAATATAATATAATATAATATAATATAATATAATATAATATAATATAATATAATATAATATAATATAATATAATATAATATAATATAATATAATATAATATAATATAATATAATATAATATAATATAATATAATATAATATAATATAATATAATATAATATAATATAATATAATAAGATAGATTAAAAAAAGCAGAAAAAAATTAAAAATACCAAAAATGGAAAAAATGGAAAATTTAGATTTTTAGAAATAAGATAGCATAAAAGTCAAACAAAATATTTTTTATTGAAGAATTCTAGAAAAAATCTCTAACTCCTTAGATTTTAAATCACCATATACTTTGTGGAAACATAAAAATGTAAATTTGAATAAAGGAAAATAACAATAAAATCATAAATTGGTAACACAAATGTGAAAAACAAATTGAAATGAAATAATACTGAAATTAAATTAAAAAATGACTACAAAATATTTTTCAAGCCTTTGGCATGGTATGTACATTTGTAGAACTTCGTGATTACTTTTAAGTGTTTTAAAATATTTAGTTTGTGAATTTATAAATAAATAAAAAGGGAAAATGGAAACTAATAATCCAACCTTTTAGCGGTACTCTTCTTACAATGGTCCACCTTTTCGTTATTCATGAATAATCCAACATTTCCACCTCATCTTCATTCACTAGTCCCTGACCTGTTGATGACCTGTTATTCCAAGTTATTTTCTTATCTTTGCAAACCATTATACCATAAATCTCACATTTCACAAAGATAGTATTTTGCAAGGATAAGAAAATAACTTGGAGTAGTAGATCATTAACCGGTCAAGGACCAGCGAATGAAGATGGGGTGCAAAGATTAGATTATTCTTGAATAACGAAAAGGCGGGACTATTGTAAGAAGACTGTTAAAAGGTTAGAATTATTAGTTTCCATTTTCCAAAAAAAAAACTTTCAACATCATCCAGAAATTAGGAGTTGATATATGAGATTAATAAAAAGAACAACTATAATTGAGATTATAATTTAGGCTTAGTTTTCATTTGAAAATGCAAAATAATCGATAGTTAGAAGTTAGAACAATGTATACCAAATCAATTTTACTAGTCCGACTTGCAACCCTTAGTTTTCATTTGAGATTTTTAGTTTCAATTTTACTCTTGCGTATTCTTAGTCCGACTTACAACCCTTGCCCTTTTGACTGCTCTTGACGCCGAATAGGATGCGGATTCAACTGAATTCTGTATATTATTTCTTTATTGATTAAATATGTGTAAAATTATACTCCGTAGGATTGATGTTGTATGAATATGCAAATTTCAATAATTTAATTTGAACAAATTCAGCCACTCTTCATTTCGCCAAATGGATTCGTAATCTCCAAAGAACATTCATTTAAAATTATTTCGGAGTTACTTTTGTTTATTACACTGAGTGGATCATAGATGTGTGTCACCATGTCATGCATGGGTTTGTTATCTCCACTTCAAACAATTACCAAATAAAACTTTTGGATGACAGAATAATCAATTAGACGACATTTACAATTAGTTTCGAGTAGTAGCGCTTTGTATAGTTTGGTAAAGGGTAATTTGAGTTTGCGCCTCATTTTAGTGTTCAAATTGGACTTTGCATCTCGTTTTTAAACACTTTTGTATTTGCACTCCTCAACTCCGTATGAAAAGACAAAATTACCCTTGATGAGGGATATGTTGAAGAGTGGTTAGTGGAGGGGCATTTTTACCTTTTCATATGGGGTTGAGGTGCGAAAACAAGGGTTTTAGAAATGGAGTGCAAAGTCCAGTTTTGACAATAAAATGAGGGCCAAACTCAAATTATCCCTTTGATAAAATGAGTGATGTATATGGTCGACTTTCCTTTGTTTAATCTGGTGTACTAGCTAACATATTGAAGTATATACGAGCAATTGGCTTTTATATTTTCCCAATTCCCCTTATAGAAAAGTACTTGTATAAGATCAATTCACTTTCATTTTATGTGGACATGAAAAAATATATGACCAATTGTGTGGATTTTGGAACTAGACAACTCTACTTGAGTTACGTTACGTTACAATTGTAAAAAATACATGCCTCATTAATAAGTCATCATTTGATGATCTATTGGCAATATCAAAAATAAAATCTGGATCACATATCAATATTTTTCAACATCTGGGTCCCTTCAGTAAATCATATACGGAGTAATGATTTGATTATCTATTGGCAATATGTCAATCAGTCAATTCAAAAATGAAAATTTTTATAAGCATCTGGACTCTGGAGTACAAAACAAACACAGAAATTTTGGAGAAATAATCATCCATATGTATATTGCTCCTCATATAAAGGCGTACATATATTACGTAGTATGTTATACTCCGTATTGTTTAATTTTCATCTGTCGTCATCTACATTAAGAGCACAATGGTTTAGATATAGAAGAAACAACTTTTATTTTTCTGATATGTAAAGACATGTAAAGTTACTTTATATTTATGAGAAAAGTCTTGACATACTACTATTATTAGCTTAGATATAGAAGAAACAACTTTTATTTTTCTGATAGCCGGTTTTGCTTAGTAAATCAATCAATCAATGAACTTAATTTCTCCTCTCCCTTCGAAATAGAATTAATTATCAACCTTGAAAAAATTGTTACGTTTAAAACCTGTTAACTTCAAAACATGACCATACTTATTCCTATTTGAAGAATAAAAAAATATTGCGTAATAGATATGTTTTGGAATT